ACCAATCACAATAGAGAGGAAGTGCATAGTCCGAAGACTGTAAAATACATCAACTCTGTATACCGTCTTCCAAGGAAGACGATAATAAACATGTAGTAGACCATCATGCTTTTCGGCTCATTCATTGGATTGGACGATTGCTCGCTGTAAGCTCCTCTGTGCGCAATGACAACAATATCCATATACAGTAGATTCCTCGACCTGTCCAATGTGCTGAGTAAATCTATTAATAGTAATATGTACTTTCCATTTAAACCTGGTAGTAGGCGAAATACACGGAAAGGACGCTATTGTCGACCATTTTAAATGGACTTGGCGATCCTCAAATTCAATTGAAAATTTGATTTAATATTGATTTAACAGTAAATTAAGGCTTAGTGTCATTTTAACAAATTTCTATTTTCTTCTTGTGAATTAAAATATAATTCTGTATAAAACAAATTCTTCACTGCTACACAATGTTATGCCCAATCAATCTACAGTTGTTAAAATTTCAAATAAATCGGGTTTTGAATACTGCGCAAGCATGCTGATGAAATTAATAGTGTATTCATAATGTTACTTACGTACGTTCAAATGCTAAAAGATTTTCTTTAATTTTGAAAATAATTTGAAAAGGTATTTTAATAATATAGTTTTCAGGGAGATTAGAAATGTCAAAGAAAAGGGTAATGGAAAATTGTCATTCTACAGCCAGTTAATAAGTCAACAAAATCTAAACAAGCCTGAAATTCAACCATACTAAAAATAATTCCAAGAAGCTTCTTTTTTTTTTTTTGACTCTGTTAGGAATAAGTTCCCACAAATTACAAATAGAGGCTGGCAGAATTGTGATCCAATTATATCAAGAGATGAAAGATATTGTATTAACTGTCTACGAAGTAAATATTGTACAATTTTTAACAATACATGTATAGCTTACGAAATTCTTAATCTTGCAGATGTAAAATCAACAACAAATATCTTTAACTTCATACGTGAAGCTTTTAACATAAAATCAAAGCGACTATATTTGGACACTGTATGTATGACTTGCGCGACAGGTGGTTTGTCAATAAATAAAATTAAATAAATATCCTGGGTTTATTTTTTCGTAACTTGATTTTAATGTACAAGTCATTGTTTGGTAGATTTTTTCTCATTTTGGTAAGGATATTTCTCCAAGTTTAGTAACATAATGAACAAGTCGCATCTGCTCCATGGCCCTGAGTGTCGAGTATAGGTCAAAATTTGCAGCTCTCCACCGGCAAGCAGTGGCGTCTCCATATGAGTGAAAAATTCTCGAGAGGGAGATCAAACAATAAACAAACAAACAAATACATGTAGTCTTATTGATCATAAATGTTTAAATTACATGTATAAAGATTTATCATAACAAATTGTTTTAAAATGCTCATAACTGCACCTCAGTTTGCTTTAAACAGGACACCAAAGTAAACATATACTGAACACATTTGGCCCTTTTTTCCACATAAATAATCTTTTTAAATCTTTAATATTGCTTTCCAGGCAAGAATCCGACTTTGAGCATGCTTTTCTCGTTCAAACCAAACATTCATTTTCATTTTGCTTCTAAATATATAGCATTCCTGAATTCTCATTCAATCAAATCATCCGTTAGTTAAAGTATATACAAGGATTTTTTTGATGAACACAATTTAGCAAAGGGGAGATACTCTTACTTGCTTTACTTATTATAATTTTGTTCTCTGTTTGCCTCCTACATACCCAGGAGCAGAGAAAAAAAAGGCACCTTTACTTATAATTAGATATATATATATGTACATTTATATTACTGCATGTTATTGTTGGCTAAATACTCGGGGGCAAAGGAGAAGATTTTCAAAGAATTAATGCATTTTTACTATATAATCATCAGAGCTCACCCTAACACCAGAACCCCTGACCCAGGGGTCATAAAAATTCAGTTTTCGAAGAAGCACCCGTCCTCATCATAAATATGCATTTAGTTTGTTTGCTTAATACCCCAAAACAGAAAAGATTCTTAAAAATTAATGTATTTTTTACTTTATTTATAATCATTAGTGCCCCGCCCTAACACCAGATCCCCTGACCTAGGCACCATGAAATTCACAGTTTTGAAAGAGGTACTCTTCCTCATCATAACTAAGCAGTTAGTTTTTTGCTAAATACCCAGGAGCAGAGGAAAGAACGTTTTAAGAAATGATGCATTTTCACTGTATATGTAACAAATCCATGCACCAGAACCCCTGGCCCTTGGTCCATGAATTTTCGTAGAGGAGTCAATGTTCATTACAATCAAGCCATTAGTTATAATAATAATGATAATAAAATAAATGTATAAAGCGCTAAATATTAATAAAATTACTCTAAAGCGCTGTACAATAAAATGCAAGTAAACATAATTTAAGAACTAAGAATAGATTAATTACATGTAATTTAACATATGTGTATTAGAAATTATAACATTAAAATTATAAAGTTACATACATACAGTAAAGTCATTAAGAAACTGTGAAGATTAGAAAATCTTTTGAGATTTGTTGCTCCAAGTATTTAAAAAGCTACTCTATAAAAATGTGTCTTTTAATGTCTTTTAAAAATGTCCAGGGACTGGGCCTGTTTTATGTCAATTGGAAAGTCGTTCCAAAACGCTGCTGCCCAACTGAGCCGACGTTCGCCATATGTCTTTGTCTTCATTTTTGGAAAAACTAACCGCGGTGTTGACTCAGATCGCAGTGATCTGGCGGGCTTGTATTCAGTTATATGATCCTCAATATAAGATGGAGCTGACCCTTGTATTGATTGGTAACATATGTAAAGATTTTATATTGTGGCCGAAAGTAAACGGGTAGCTAGTGAAGATCTGCTAAAATAGAAGTAATGTGCTCCCTTTTCGGCGATCTTGTTAACAGACGAGCTGCAGTGTTTTGGACTCTTTGCATGCGTTCTAGTGTGTTCTTTGAAACTCCATATAGCAGGCAGTTCCCATAGTCCAATCTAGCAGTGATTACGGCGTTCACCGTGGTCTTACAGGCTTTTTTTTGTTAGAAAGCGCCGTATACGTCCAATATTGCATATTTGGAAATAGCATGACTTGACGACCGAGGATACCTATTTTTCCATATTAAGGTGTTGATCGAAAACACCTAGGTTCTTCACACATGGCACGCTTTCAATGATATTATCACCAACTTTAAGTTGTAATTTTGGTAGATGCTTTTGATACTGCCTTGTGGTGAAGATTATTAGCTCGGTCTTATCTCGGTTCAGTTTGAGTAGGTTTGAGGTCATCCATGAACCAATGTCGCTAAGGCACGCTTCAAGTCGAGAGAAATAATCGTTCCAATTTTCCACTGGTCTAATAATCACGTAGGTGATCTATCATCTGCATAGCAGTGATAATAATTCCATGTCGACGACATATGGTTCCTATTGGTTTGGAGAAAAGGCAGTACAGTTTCGGCCCGAGTACAGATCCTTGAGGGACACCAAAAGGCAGCTGTCTTGAATCTGATCGGACGGATCCAATTGTGACACACTGTTTCCTGTTCTTGAGGTAAGACTTTATCCACTCAAGAGCATTATCACGGAATCCATAAGACACAGTAAAGCGTTGGAACAGTATCTTATGATCAGTGACATCAAAAGCAGCGGATAAATCCAGAAAGACAAGGACTGCTGAAGATTGTTGGTCAAGACCTGTCACAATATCATTGTGGACCTTAATGAGGGCCGTTTCCGTGGAGTGCCTGGGACGATATTCTGATTGAAGTGGGTCGTAAAGAGAATTCGCATCCAAGTGGGCATCAATTCTACGAGCCACAACTTTCTCCAGTATTTTTGAAACAAAAGTCAAGTTAAATACGGGTCGATAGTTTTTCATCACTTCCTTATCAAGTCCGGGTTTTTTTAAGAAGTGGACGAACTAAATGTTCCTTCCAAGCCGAAAATTTGGAGTGCGGAGTATAGGTAAAAATTTGGAGCCCTCCGCCGGCAAGTGGTGGCGTCTCCACATGAGTGAAAATTTCTCGAGAGAAACGAGAGAAACGTTTAAGAACATACATTTAATCAATACACCCAGCAGAAACAGACCACATACGCGACATAATGATACATATATTTGAATGTGCCTCCCTTGTTTCAATAATATTCCAGGGAAAAAATGTAATTATCGTTGCCCTCTCATTAATTTGAACAGCAATTCGTTAACACACAGATGAACAATAGTGAACAGTGATATATTTATACGTTCCTTAAGATTAAGGACAGCGATTATTAAATTAATGTCAAATAATTAAATAAGTATCGTATTAAATAGAATGCGCAAAAATAGTGTGTTAACGTCAATCATTCAATAAAAAACATTTCAACAATACCTTTAAAGCAACAAATAGTATCTAGAGTAAAAAAAATCTCAAGAACGTAAATTATTTACTGTTTGTACCACAGGTGGAGCCTCGAAACAATGTGTACACGTTTTATAGATGTCGAGAATACTGTTCCTGATTCATTTAAAGGTCGAATATAAAAGAAATAGGTATACTTCTAATTTATGTACTAGTATGTTGTAAATAATAATGAGTTAACATTGAAATGCTAATTGTAACCTGTGAATGTTTAAAAATTTGATGTAAACAGGTAGTATTACTTGTTGTTAAAAGACCAGTTGACTGCTATACTCACCTACCTTCCATTTGTGCATGAAAGTAGTGGACCAGCTTTGGGGAAACGTGACACAAACCTTTGTGGAAGGCTTCCAGGCCAGATGTTTGTACTGCAGGGGAGAGTTTCTTACTGTCTGTCAGCAGCAATCGTCCATTAACAATTTTTTTTTCTGATTCAACATATGCTCTAGAACCTGCAGGGTAGAAATCGATATACTGTTTAAGTCGTAGTATAGTTTTAAGCTAATTAAATTTAAAAAAAAAAGGAAATGAACAAAAGGTTCAATTATAACTTAATCTGCAACCAAATTTGATAGCATTATTTTAGATACCTTTTCTGAGCCACACTCGGTCATCATCAAGTTCACCATGCTCACATCTTGGAAACTGTGAACCAAGCCCCTCATGTACATTGCACACATGGTTTAAGGTATTCAATGTGTAATGAAGGGATTTTGAACAATTATAAATCATCTTAAACTAGTTAAAAATGCATTGCTAGATAACGATGAAAGTGAAATGAACCGAATTCACATGACAGATAAAATGTAAGAAGCAAGTCCTTTTGCACCTTTAAAGTTTTTGAAGAGTTATCTGCCCTTGTTTCAAAGAAGAAAATTTTAATTTTTTCAAAATATCTATGGCGAATGATTCATTTTGTGTCATATTAAAATAAAGAGAGAGTTTATGCATATATTCACCAAGAGATTTGTATGAAATTCAAATTACTTTTAACAATATCTTAATAACACATGCGCTGCCCATAGACTTCAATGTTAACTTCAAGGTACAATTAATTGTATATTAATCAAAATTTGGTAAATTCCTTTGGTGGAGTATTGTAGTTTGATAATACCTTCAAAATGCTACCATGATTTAAAAATCGGACCATTCATTTATTAGGTACAAAAAACGGTAGTTATACATCGAAAACCTTAAAATGGAACACAATTTCACAAATACTAAGCTGCTCTCCGTTTCCTTCACAGCTTATGGCACACCAGTAGGTGTGGCTACTGATGGATTTTGCCCCCTGACCAAAACCTCACAATTCTTTTTTTTTAAGCTACTGCCTCCAAGTTCTTGAATATCCCTAAGAGAAGAAATTCAATTCATTGAATATGCTATATACAAGATTCCTATTGTAAAAACTATTTACATTTATAAACACTTTTAATCAAAATTACCTTTAGCGATATACCAGCAATGAAAGCAAAGGATTATTTTAGGATGCTCTTCACGGGGATACCTTTTAATTTGAGAGTGGCGATCAATAACCAGATGTGACACTTCAACTTGCTCCTTCTCCAAAAATGCCAAACCTCTTTTCAATCCCTCTAGGAGGTATCTACAGTTATACATTTATTGTGCTCTAACCTGTACTAGCTGTGTTTCTACAATCTTGTTTGTCGGAATCCATGCATGACGTAGCTTCTGAAATTTAATGTTATTCAAGCATTTAGTAATGATAAAATCACATTTATATATATATATAAAAATTCAAGTATTAACAAAATGAAACTCCGAAATTGTGTTTTCTACTTAATTTTTTTTTTGGTAAACATCAAATAAATTATTATTAATGTAATAAAAATATATATTTAGTAGATAAAACAGTAACAAGAACGTTATCAATTAACCTTACAACTAAATTTTAAGTAGTTTGGGTCATTTTTGGAAAAGCAGTCAGAGTCGTTTCTTTGCACAATTGTATCACTTGTTGTTTGGTTTTCCAGCACCAGTAAACACTGATCTGTGTTGTCTGCAGATGTAGAACTACTCTGTGGACATTCCCTATATAACACCATATCAAAACCCTGAAAATTATATAGCAGTCAAAAAAAAATTTCCAACCCAGAAAATTTCTTGACAAGCAAAAAAAAAAAAAGAAAAAAAAAGCGGAAATTCCATTTCCAGAACGTGAAAAACATCTATTTCGTGGTGGTGATGGTGGGGTGCACGCTTAGGGGGGGGGGGGACCTCCCGACCCCCCCCCCCCCTACGCATGTATAGTATGCGTGTACTTATTCTGACAGACAGCCAATTAGAATTCTAAGTACATGTATACAGTGAACAGTACTGTTGTCTTAACATATTACAATATCTTACCATTAAACGTCTCTTCTTAAGAATTTTCTCCAGCGCTGCTGATTTTCTGGGAATCCTAGCAGCCTAAGCAGGTGTTGGCGAGTACAAATCTCTCTGCCTTTTACAAGGTACAACCGGGCTTGAATAATCCAAAATAGTTCGGATGGCACCAGGTTTCAATATTTTAGATTTCACTTTAAATGCTGCACATTGCACCATCTCGCCGTTGATAATGTTCCCAAAATCGGCAATATCTTTATACTTTCGATTTCTCGCTATCTCTTATGACGTCACGCAACAAGGGAGATAAACGATTTTCAATAAACGCTTCACTGGTCACACAGGTGCATTTAAACGACGATTAGTGATAACAGTTGGTGACATGAATTTTAATAGACCATCGAATCTTATTCTCAATGCTCCAGAGGCTTATAATCATGAATAATTCTGTATTTTCAAGTAAATATTATATTTGACCTTTAAGTTTAATTTCTATTCTTAAAAAATGTCATTTTAATTAAAAAAGTTGATACACAGTATTAAAAGTCTGAATCTCTGCAAAATATAAAGTGTTAACTTCATTGACTCAAAAGTTATTAGGAAGATTAGGATTTATGACAGATTTACATAATAACAACAAAAGTACGGTGAAAATTTTTTGGTCTTAATCCTCAAGACGCTTTGATTAATATCTCGCAATTATATGAAGGGTGTGGATATCATTGTTGCTAAAGGAAAAGACAAAAACAATATGCCCCCAGCATAAAAATGTATATTTTACTCTCTGGTCACTAATTTAAAGTCTGATTTGAATATACAGTACATTTAGGCTTATGCTTGCTCTACAATCTGCAGTCTTTTTTCTTCTTAATGTCTGCGCTACGCATATGAAAGTTGACCCCCCCCCCCCAACCTTAGTACCACGAAGCCACGTCCCATTAAAACCAATAGTACACTTCGTAAAATGTTAGGGCCTCAATAATGGACCAGAGAGCCATAAACTTTACAAATAGGGTAAGGGGTTGAGTACTCATTTACAATAACCCAAGTAGAATGTCTTCAAGATGCCCATGAATGAAGAAGATGTTATGTATATACATGAATGAGCAACTTATTTAAATCATGTAGCTTTAACTCATGGGTCATGTACTTCATAATTTTGGTAAGGTGCCTTTTCCTAAATAAACTTCCTAAACTTTTTTCCCTAATATTATGTGAAGGTATTCACATGTCTCCATTTGCAAATGTTTAATGCTACATCATAAGACAATTACTTTTCCTCGAAGTTGCGACATACTAGTCATTACGGCAAACAAATATCAATTTTATTGTCTAGTAATACGAGATGTAATTGGTCTATGAAGTTACGTAATCATTGAGAGAACCTAGTTGACGTTTTATTAGCGTACAGATTAACTTGATACAGATACATTTGCTTAGAAAGAGCAATTGTCCATCATGTCCGTTTCATTTAAAAATCAAGTACATTTTTAATGAACATTATTTGAATCTTTCTCCGCATAAAATTATCAAAAAAGCTTCTTCATGCCTAATTGTAATCATATTGTTTAGGGCGAATTTATTATTCAAACATTTGAAGTAGCAAGTAGGTAAACGTTGCCTTCTCATAAAACATCGCTGTCTCTTATACTCCCATTTAAGTGAAGTCTTTCAGCTAGAGAAACAACACATTGAAATTCGCAGTTTTGTCACTGTTTCAAGATAAACTAAAAGGGACGCGTGCAGTAACTACATGTAATAGTGCCTTTGTTTGCTCACACATACAACAGAAAAAAAAACCCTCTTTCTTCCTGGCGTTTTATAGCTAATACATGTAACTGCACGTACTATTCTGAGCTACTTTTTTTTTACATATCTGCCAGAACAATCTTTATAGGTAAGTTTCATTTTTGTCAATTGTTTTGTAAATATGTCGATTACGCAACATTAATTTGTGATGTACATATATCTGGAATGCTAGTACTTGATAACGAGTTCCCGGGTCACTAAATATTGATAATTCAGTAATAAACTTCATCAAAAATGGTCATGACGAAAAGCGTCTCATACACAATAGTCAATGCAAAATTTTCTAATTAACAGAATCATTTACTTCGAGCAAAATTGACAACTGCAGAAATTTTCTTCATTTAAAAAGTTTGATATAATTGATAAGCTTGTCAATTAAAAAAGTAAAGATAACAAAGATGTAAGCCAGAACTACACATACATATACCTTTAACATGCTTGTTTTATTGAAAAACGAAAAACTACTTAATAGAAGCATTTACACTCATAAATAGTGCATAGGGGCAACTAGGTATATGTAAGCATGTACATGTATTAAATGAAGTGTTAATTGTGGTCAAAATACTAAACGTACTTTTCTTCTAACAATGTATAGAGAGCAAACATGATCCTTTTTCATAACAATGTTATTAACTCATTCTTTTACACAGATGCTGAATCTTGGTATACTTAAAGTGATATCTTTCGATTTTATTTCAGCACGAGCAATTATGTTTTTCCTCGCCATGCGGATTACACTGTTAGCTATATATAGCAAGGCGTACGGTGAGATTGAGTTTTCTGTATAAACTGTTTTTTCTTCCGGGAGATTATCTATCTTCAATCTCCCTTGGCTACCACGCACATGAAATATCACTGCGCGAGCTATATTTTGTATACGTTTTATAGCACCCCTTCTGTGTGCCAATTTACCCAGCAGTGTGACCACAGGCACTTGGGGTATGCCCCTCCCCCTTGTCATTTTTTTTCTTTTTAAATCTGGGATCTAGTCAACTTTTTCCTATTTTGGTATTCTAATATGCACTATATGTGAGTGAATAATATGTTATCGATAATTTAACCCTTTTGTCTCTATAACCTGTTTTAAATATATCGTTTTCGACTGATAAATAAAAAAGAGAGAAGGCTTGCAACCCTTTTCTCGTCGTCTGGCCCACCACGCTTAAACTTCGCGTGGTTATTTATCTAAAGCATAAAAAACATGGAATATGCTTACATCAATAAATTTGTTACACATTCTTTTTCCTTTTCATATTTCCATTTAATTTTTATGTGCCCCCGATTTGTAAATATTTCGATTAAATCATTCGCATCTAAGGTAAATTTTGTTAGTGTGCACAAGCTGGGACGGAAGTGCAGTAACGTTGTAACTCCCGGCCTTGTAATAACAATTTTGTGAAATTTGGTTGTTTAGGTCGTATGTTAAATGTTAAGGTATTCAATGTATAATGAATGGATTCTGAACAATTTTTGATCATTTTAAACTAGTTAAAATTGCACTTCTAGATAACGATTACAGGGAAATGAACCAAATTTTTATGACTGATAACATGAAAGAAGCTAGTCATTTTGTACCTTAAAAGTTTTTGAAGAGTTATCTGCCCTTGACGAAAAAAAGAAAATTTTAATTTTGTCAAAATATCTGTGGTAAATGATTTATTTTATTTCATATTTTAATAAAGAGAGAGTTTATGCATATTTTCACCAAGAGAGCTGTATTGAATTCAAATTACTTTTTACAGTATCTTAATAAAACCTGCGCTGCCCATAGACTTCAATGTAAAATTCAAAATTATTTGATAATAATCAACATTTGTAAATTCCATTGGTGGAGTATTTTTATTTAATAACACCTTCAAAATGCTACCATGATTAAAAATGTCGGTCCATTCATTTATTAGGTACAAAAAATGTTCGTTATACATTGAAAACGTTAATCTTCATCCATCAGAATCTGCTGGTTACGGATTTCTTGTTATATAAACAGAATATACACAGAACGTACCGTTAATTTTGAAGAGAAAATTCGGAATGTTTTCCGTCTCGCATTCAATGTTGTGAATGACATTACACATACGAGGGTTGTTTGGAAATTCGTGGACTACCGTCATGACATTTTTACTTAACGTCATATTATATCCAAAATTGGAAGAAATATTTCAGGAGTAAATTCAAATCATGTGTATTAATTTTTTTCATAATATCGTGGTTTATTTCAAACTTATTTAGACTTTAAAAAAAATGCAAAAATCGGATCATGGTCAAAATTTTGCAATTTACAATCAAGACACTAAATAATGTTTGAAGTAATATTTTCTGTAAAATGACACACAAACGGAAAAATTCTACACGTTCAAATTAAGAATTTATTTCTGATTCTCATTTATGACTGAATATTTTGCTTCATTGACAGGAAAATCAGTTTCAGAAGATAGGTAGTCCTCAATGAAAAAGCAAAAAAAATGACGTCGTAGAACGTCACGGAGCAGCAATTAACCATACAAATTTGTATTTTTACTCTGGAAAACTCCAGAAAAAAACTTTAAAAATGCCGTAGATAGTAGGTAATATGCAAGCCATGCATGTGTGTGTACATGGTACATGTACAAGCGGTGTTTGAATGATAGGCTACTCCGCTAAGACGATGGTGATCTGTGAAAAAACGGATTATCTGTAAAAATCTTATCAAAAACATTAAAAAGTTAGTAACGTCATGCTAAGAGTTTGTTGCTTCACAGATGCTGATCTTGTGAAAGCACACTTATGCAGTGAAAAAATATAACATTGACAAATAAAATGATGCTACTGGAACAATTATTAGTAAAATAGATTTCAAGTGATAGGGAAACGTTTTAATGTGTGCACTGGTATTGGGCATTACTGTGTGAAATGTACAAGGATAGTGTTATGAGAACCTCACATCGGTATGTTTTTGGCGTTACAGTGTTGTTGAATTTGCTTCGTGGTTACAAAACGTGTTGATTTTAAAGTTAAATGACACGAATTCTAATAAATTACAAGACCAGTCCTTCGGATGAAACCGTATAAACCGAGGTTCCGTGTCGCAGTAGGTGCTGGCACGAAAAAAGATCCCTAACTGCTCAATGGACCTGAGTGCCGAGTATAGGTCAAAATCTGTAGCTCTCCACCGGCAAGTTGTGGCGTCTCCATATGAGTGAAAAATTCTCGAAAGGGACGTTAAACAATAAACAAACAAACAAAGGATAAATTACAAGGAATGAAACTTCACACTGAAACAAAATAATTTTTTTTACATATGATAATATGCTCAATTTAAATTTCTTGGAGATAGTATAAGGAAGATTGCATAATCAACGAACTTTCCAAACAACCCTCGTAATGATGACGCCCGAAATACCGGGCACTTCCGTCCCAGCTGTGCAACCACAAACCACTGAACATCCGTTAATCGGAAGTCTTTAAATACGGACAGTGTGTAGTACAATTATGATACTATAAACAGCAAAGTGTGTGCCAATAAAACTAGATAGTGTGTTGCGTAATCTCGCAATGCACAAAGTTCCTAAAATTTATTTCTGACAATATGACATCCAGCGCAAGCGGGAAATTGAATTGATACCACTACCGAGAGAAAAATTCCTATAATATATATATTGTAAATTCTACTGGCAGCCTACAGGCTTATAGCAGGAAGAAATACTTTGTTAAAAATCCCGCATTTACCTTTAGAGCAGAAGTAGATGTACGTCACTACCCCCCCCCCCCATCCCCCGTAAAAACTTGAAAAATAACAATTTCATTTATTGACGATTATTGTGTAACCTGTTATACGGTGTTATGGATGTTGTACTTCAGGTGCTCTTACTTCATTTCCGTCAAGGATAAAAGTAGCGAATATGCATATTTAAATGATAAACTGATATTTTTTTGCTTTCTTTTTCTTTTTAAATATTAGCTGTTAACGCCTTATGATTAGGCCGAGTATTTAATACAAAATTCTGTATTCAGAAAAAAATGAAATGTATTGATTAAAGCACAAAATTATTCATTAATTTTCCTTTTTTTATGTAAGCAAATTTATTACGAAGTACAAATTGTCACTATGCTCTCAGTGAGGAATATACAAATTTTACCGATAAATTTATTAGAAAAATCTACTAATAGTCTTTCTATATATAAATATAATTTTATTAACAACTTATAGTGTTCTCATTGATTTACCATTATTTCAATGACCATTCAAACAAAAGCTTTTTTTATGTTCAGGCAGCTATATTCGCCTCGTTTTTCTTTTTAACATGGGGCTTGATCCTATATAATGTTATAGAAGTTTCCCTCAATATTAAGATCGGTGAATGACGAAAATAATTTGCACATTTTCCTTTTTAATCGGTTATCACACTTATTTCTTTTATATCATTTAAATCAAGTTTTGATTGAATAATTCAGTGATGATGTATAATGAAATAAATAAACGATTGTTTGTTGTCAGTTTCATTCAAAATTGCCAGTAACTTAGATCCGCCAAACGGAACCGCCACCGTATTCACGTTTTTGCTATTTCATGGCAGTTTATAGAAAATGAAAGTAGACTTTTAATTTAATGCAAGATACTTACTATGCGTGTGAAATCTGAATACAGTTTACGGACATCATCTTGTATCTAGTGTATTCTTAGGGGAGTAAATAGGAACTTTGGTGCATCCGTTACGGAATTTATTTTCAAAATTTATTTATTTACTTGAATAAGTATATAGATATATGCTATACTCTTGCTGCGTCTATTTCTTTTACAGGTTAAAAAAAATACAACAAACTTTTATATTGAATTTATTTCTTAATATACATTTATTTGTTAAAAACATTTGTCAATTTTTGACAATAGAGTGTATCTTTGACCAAAAGCGTTTCCATAACCATTTCGGTTTATGAAGTCGAGTACAAAAACAATGTTTTCATATCATGCATCATGGAATTGCAGATAGCCCCCCCCCCCCCTTTTCTCCGTGATTATGATGTAAGCCACTTTTGAACGGACTATATATTGAAGATGACGCTATTTAAATGGCCTATCTGTTTTTGGTTTTATTTTTGTTTTGTTTTGTGTTATTATTATTTTTTTTTTTTATTTTTTTTTTTTGAGCATATAAGAGAAAACCAGTATATTTACAGACCTTCCTACCTTTTTTATTACACGATTATAATTTAAATCCTCATTCTGGCGGAGTTTCAGGGACATAAGCGTAATTGTACTGACGTCTTATTCTACATCCTCAAAGTCAGACTCTGTATTGTGTACCCTATAACGAAGGACGTAAAAATATTTTCAAATCATTTATTGACATAATTTTTTTTCTTTTCTTAAAAATACAGCCCAACTTGTCGTAAATTTACAACTCCACTCTTAATGAATTTTTTTGTCAATAGCTTCTCAAACATCATTTGATTGATTGATTATATGTTATTTTCCCATTTGAGAATTTTCATTCAATTAGAGACTCGCCATACGGTGAAGGGCTTTAATTAAGACCTATACCGGGCACTCGGGCCAACAGAGCAGCGAGGATTCTTTAAATATCGTGTCAACGCCCACCGTGAGCTCAGTTTTTAAGGTTTCGTCAGAAAGACCCGTGACTTTCACATTTAATGCCGATCGCTTGACGACGTAACACTTACGTCTTAAGTTTGAAATCTTAAAAGTTGTTAAAAAATTAAAACATCTTTAAATAAAGGGATATCTGAGCATGACATTTAAGAAGAGTTATGGCGTAATAAAGTAAAAAAAAAATGTAAACAAGCGGAAGATAGGCAGGTTTGTATTAATGTTCCAAATTGACGTTTCATCCTACAGAAGGTATTGTTTGATTTCTGTTTAGATGTGTAAAAGTGCCTCTACGTGTATACAACAAATAAGCAAACCACATTTCGAAGCTTTTTCCAATTTATATGAATTGGACGGATGTAAAATTGATGGGTGAAATTTCAGGTAAATTAAGACCTAGTAATAAATGAAAGGGTTCTCAAATTGAAAAAAAATTGAAATCCTTTATTTATGGCGTTTAGTAACTACGTAAACAGCTGAGACAATTAAATGTCCTGGGTGCTTTAGAAAACATGTAAACATTTAGTTTCCTTACTTTGTTGATATGCAAACAGAAACATATGGAAGTTTTATACCAAATTATACAAAAATGCATTAAGATTTTATAGATACCCCCCCCCCTTTAAAAAAAGAAGAAAAAATAATAAACATCAACCAAATTAATTATGGTGTCAAATATAAAAACAATAAAAAAAAAATATATTACTTAAAATTTTCTAGAAGCAATAAGACGCCTTTTATCGAAGCACTTCACCGTTTCTTGCGATTATGACAAGGAAGAAATAGAATCCAGAGTGCAAAGATACTGTAAAGTGGTAGCTATACATAAGTTTTTGCATTTAAAAAGGGAAGCTAATGGAAGAATAGGCTATCAAAATTAAAAATTAGAGGCGCGTTTGGTCGTCTGACTTGGACGGCATGGCGTTACGGATAATACAAAACATGCCAATCTCAATCCAATTTTAAATGTTAAATGTATTTGTCATTCCAATTAAAGAAAAGAAGAACTAAAATATATATGTAAGAGAGCGAGAACCCTACATTTATCATCCATTAATAAACAATACGATATTTCCGAGGCATGGGTATTGTATTAGATGTACCATACGATAAATAGATACATACGATCAACAATAGATATAAATTGATATCGTTGTCATTCCTACTCTTGACGTATATAAAGTCCACAACAATAAAATATTTCATTTGCATTTTGTTAGGATTTGTTCATCGACATTAAACATATTGTTTACATGTTTATGTTACGTTTGTCCCAGAAATGTACATTTTCCGACTTTTTCACAAAAGAGCGCACTAACAAGTATAACTCTTCCATAGTGGAAATGGAACCTATTGAGGAATGAAAAAATAGTATATTTACTAAATGCATAGAAATATTTACTATTGACTGAAGTAATACATTACTTGTTTCTTTCGTTAAATTACTAGCTAGTGAACTTACGTAGCACTTAGTAAAAACTACCTTCAAATTAGTTATTGTATTGACAGTGATTTTATTACTTTGCTTATTTTTTTCTGATTATTTTTTTTCAATGTTCTCTACTGTGAAATATGATCTTGATAAGATCCTATGTACAAAACTCTAAATAGTTTAGATGTCATTTTTTAATACACTACTATGCCAATTTTCCACTTTGTATTTAAAGAAAATTTAGCACTGGGGAGACCTGCGTATCAACAATATAACTGGTCCCCTATACTCGCGGGAGCAGCCAAGGCAGTAGATGGACAATATTTAGATCGCTCACACAGGGGGAATGAGTGTACAATATCAGATGATAATAAGGAGACAGCGTTGTGGAGAGTTGATCTAGGGAGTGTTGTCAGTATCAGCCACATCGACATCTACTACAGGACGGACAATGAGCCAAGTATGTGTGAAATGTGGTTTTGCTTTTAAGAACATTTTTGAACATTTCCAGTTGTAAAGTTTCATATTAGAGTGTGTAAGTACATAGTACAGTACAGTCCTAAATCTGGGTTCGGTCTTGGGTGCTGATATCATGTTGTAAATTTTGAATTTACGGGGGGGGGGGGGATGCAAAATTTACATGTAAATATTGCATTTACCTCCCCCTAGTGATTTAAAAATTTACAGCATGATACTTCACTATATAGCCATCTCTGAGTAGTCACTACTTAATCCAAGTAACTTTGGTCATTGTAGTTTAACTTTTGCTAAATAGACTTTGAGTATGTATATAAATAATAATATTCAACGCGTACATTACACATAGTCCAGAAAAATAACCGTACAAGAAATACCAAAAATACGATGGTGACTGTCACAATTTAAACCCAAAGCCAATTAAACATATACCAAGTATATTAAAACTATAGCCCTTGCAACAAACTGTAAGCGTAATACAATTAGAGGTGTATTCTTTTTACCACATTTGGTGGAAAGCAGTTTCCGCTAGTTCAAGTACATCGCTAATATTTGGAGTAGATATATTTATATCTACCAAGTTCAGATATGCGCTAAATCAAATTTTCCCTAATTTGTTGAAAACTAAAACCCGTACACGCTGAATAAGATGTATTTACAGTAATAAATAGTTATAGTAATTGTTAAATATTTTGAAATCGATATACAGTGTCGATTCTCCAGGAATACTTTCCCTACGAATAATGCCACTGCAACAGGTTTTCCAAACTTTATCTTGTTTGTTGTTTTTTAACGTCCCTCTCGAGAATTTTTTAATCGTATGGAGACGCCACCACTTGCCGGTGGGGTGCTGCAAATTTATACCTATACTCGGCACTCAGGGCCATTGAGCAGTGAGGGATCTTTTTCGTGCCCTCACCTACTGCGACACAGGACCTCGATTTATACGGTCTCATCCGAAGGACCTTTCTCCACGTCCCGCAGTGGATTCGAACCCGCGATGTAAGGATCATCTCCTTACTCTGCGACTCTAGAGCAGACGCTCTAACCTGCGCCACGCCACCCAAACTTTATCTTAATTCAGGATAAACGACTTGCGCGAGTAATTCGGTTCTCAAAAAATTTCAAAATGAATGCATTTAACTAGTTTATTGATGAAAATTGCGAAAAATCACTTTTGCTTAATTTTTTTTTTTTTTTTTTTTTGAGAACGACAAATGGTGGTTTCATTTTCTCAATCCGATTAAGTCCTGATTATTTTTTCGAGCGCTGTTTACACCTAGTTGCAATGCCGGCTTTCATGCGTCATTGGTATGGGGACGAAGTTTCAGCGTCTCATGGCTGTAATCCAAAACATTCACGATAGATTTTTAAGAAAATTGAGACTGTGGATGTAGACGGTTTAGTGTTTTTTCAAGGTTGTACGAATGGCGTCAAGAATAATGAGTGATTTCAAAATGCAATGAGCTTTGTAATTCGAATTTTTACGTAAAATTCGGAGCCCAGATATACAGAGAAAGCTGGAATTTCATAGATGGCAGGGCTGAAAAAAAAAACACTGATGTGATAAATGGTAAAGTTTAGATACTGAATAAGATTAAACAATTGAAAAATATAATGACCTCATACTATTATTTAAACGGGTCATACATGTATGCATGTAATGTTAAAGTACAGTGGTTTATAAAACAACCATTTACGACCCAGTGCTACTACTTGCATTGACATAAGAGTAAGAAAACATCATAATCACGAACTCGGCAAAAGATAAAGATCTCATTCTGGCATTTGAAATCTAAAATATTATTGAAAACTATTATCATTATTCATCTAGGGGGTTACATGTAGGTATAACACACTGCACCAGCCATGTATTTACAAATTATGAATTACAAATGTTTCCTACTGAGGGAGTGAAAATGGAGAATACCACCGAGAAGTCAATAAAATTTTTATAGTAACAGAAAGAGCAAAAACATTAAGGTCACCACCAGTATATGACCACAATATCATCCCAGGCTTCCAAAAAATATAGGTGCTTTACTGAGACAGCTTTCTGGTAATTTTAAAAGAATTCATGCGTTTTCATTATATGATCAATAGACCCCTACACCAGCATGCTTGAAGTTCACGACGAGATACTTTTGACCTGACGCCGGGTAACCTCTAACATCCATTGTAAACACTTGCGCCGCAGAAACCCAATGTGGAAATAAATTGTTTAACAAAAATGCAGACTTTGAATTCTACGGGTAACAGGCAACAATTAAATGAATATTAAAAAAAACTTAAGCATTAAACAATGCTAACCTCTTCCATTAGCGATCCATTCATTATTTAAAAAAAAATCGAGGCAGAAATCAAACTAGGTCTTCTATTCAAAGTTAGGGAATGAAATGTAAAAAAAAAATGACTAGATGAAATAACTTTCCCTCTATGAAATACCTATAATTTTCTTTTTCGAAATAGCAATTCTCAAAAATTAATGTGAAGTCAAATCGAAAGAAAACTTGCTATCAAAAATTGAAATAATGACGATTTCCATTGATAAACACTGATTCATACTGATTAAAGTGGATTTTATGAAATACGTTGAAAACTTGTTAACAGCTTATTTCACGCACAGTATGTTCCGACCAAATCTAAGTCGGAACTAGCTCGTAAAAAAGACCTTCGTAGTTCAGAGACCAATTTATGTAAGGAGTGTAGACTCTTACTTCAACCTAATTCCTGAACCCCTATCCAGGGGCCATACATTTCAATATTTTGAACAAGGCCCAGCCCTTAGGCCTGAGGAGGTAACAGACTTTCACTATTTTGAACAACTCCCCGCCCTTAGGCCTCAGGAGGTTACAGACTTTCACTATTTTGAACAACTCCCCGCCCTTAGGCCTCAGGGGGTTACAGACTTTCATTATTTTGAACAAGGCCCAGCCCTTAGGCTCCAGAAGGATAATGACCACAAATTTCAACATAATGTTCCCCTTTTCCATAGAGGCTATATATCAAATTTGGTTGACATTGGTCAATCAATCCCAGAGAAATATCTGAAAATATTCAATTATTAACGAACGATGACGACAAAAAGCAAGAGGTGGCATTTAAATGAATTTCATACTCAAAATAATGAAACAGATGATGGTCATACAGAAAGATTTCTGAGAAGTAAACCCTAGTGTCATGCAATACGCATGTACAATTTTCCATAAGGGATTGTAAGTATGGTAAATAAATATAGTTAAAACTGACGCAAATCACAAATTTACCGTCAATTTTTTTAACTTACAAAAGTATTTCAACAAAAAAAAAATAAGGAAAATACACTTGAATTTTCAAACATGAACTTAAATTCATATAAGAATAAAAGGTATCAACATTTTTATTTTAAAACTGTAAACACACTAAAGTTTAACGATAATATGCATTGCTTTGTTAATCCCAATGTGTATTTCAGGCCATCTGTAAAAATTGTTTGTTTGTCCTCTCCCGACCGACTGGCTAAAATGACCCGACTTTTTCGAATCTCCTGGAAACAATTATTTTTTTGTTACTACATGTATTTCCGGAATTTTCTCATCTGGTCAACAACTATTTTATTTTATCAATTTTACAAGATTTTGAAAATTCAGCATTAATTTTGAAATTCTCTATGAAAAAAAAAATGTTTCTCCTACTTACAGACCCAATATTCCTTTCCTGAGTCGGGAGAAGGCAAATACTGTAATTATGATGTTCTCATGGCTATTAAAATCGGAGATAAATGTCAGGAATTAAAAATAATGAAGTTTGTCATCAAAATATTTGTTACATGATATAATGTGATGTTAACAAACAGTCATGTTTACTCATGGCTGATTAAATGAAAGACTTAAAGGTTGAATGTTTGTCACGTGATGATACAGATGATTTATACAGATTGTAATACACGGCGTGGTAATTACCTCAAAATAAATAGTGACTATCATATATATTATCAATAAGGAATTTGTCTATAATTCGGAAAATAATGATTTGTAAATTTTCAGGTCCTGGTCGTTATTATGATCGATTTGCAGGGTTTTATCTGTACGTTTCAAATACAACGTTGAAAGACGATGGTCATCTTTGTTTCCATGAAATGCAGAATGCGATTGGTACACCTGTTGAGGACCAGAGCATCAACTGCTCTGTACAGGGACGATATGTTATATTCTACAAGCTTATCTTTTAAAAAGATTGGTGAGCTAGCGCTGTAGCTTAATAAAATACAGAAGAAGATATCTGAACCATTTGTTAAATTTGCTGAATCGATTAATTATTAATAGGAAGGCAGATTGGTGCACTTGGGGTTGAGTTTGGGGGGGGGGGTCACAATTCAGAATGGTGAATCTAAGAGTGTGCTTCACGTCGGCAATGGCATAACTCCTAACTGTGCTTCAAGCATTCTGTATTTTACTGTAATTTCAATTTCGAGGTGAAAAATAAAAGGCCAGTAGAACCAATGAGCACCTTCGGGCCTTTCCGGCAAGCTCGGAAAACATATCCGAGGTTGCCGCGGTTTTCCGAGCTTGCCGGAAAGATCTATGAAGGTAGATTAGAAAAGCTATGTATTTATTACAACTTTAGAAATAACAGTCTTGGTTTTATAAGACCCGAGTTACTGTTACTTTTTGTTCATTTACGTGCAGGTTAGACAACAAAACACGAAACTTCAGATCATATGTATTTTCAGATGATAAACACTAAATTGACATGTTTTTCCGACATACTCTGAAAAAGATTTTTGTTGTTGTTGTTGTTGCTGTTGTTTTTTCCGAGCTTCCACTTAGGTGGTAAAACTGTAAGGAAAGCTAGATGTCTAGAATCTTGGCATTATATGGCCAAATTTTTCTTGTACTTTTATGTGTAGGTTAGACAATAAATAAAAAAAAATTCAGAATCCGGATCTAGACTGGTATTGACTGTCTCTAACCTACGAAATGTATATCGCGCATATCAGACAGGAAAGGCCAGTGTAAATTCGGATCATTTCTATTTTTGTATGACAAAACGAAATTGTTATCGTACAGTCTATCTACAGTAGTTTTCCCAGAATCCCCGACCGTGAAGTCGAGCATGCGTATTTCAGAAATATAGACTAACGTAGTTGCTAGCGCTCGAGAGCGCTAGCAATAATGAACGGAAACCGGATGCGACGTATCCTAGCTACTATTCAACATATGCATATAATGATTTGTGTGAAGTGCAAGTTTGGGGTGAGCTTCAGTATTTTAATTAATAAACATAAGTGAAATATTTAATCAAAAATTTACATTCTTGAATTTTAATAAAATGTTTCCTTCAAACAGGTTGCCCTAATACGTCATACTACGGAGAAAAATGCAGCAATAGGTGTCCTGATAAGTGCCAGGAGGGTAGGTGTGACGTAACAGGGGACTGTTATGGATGCGTGCCAGGTTATCAAGGTCCTCGCTGCAGTCAGGGTATGTATGCAGCTATTCCTCAGTAGCATGCGTGTCTTCCTCAGAAAGTCTTTACATTTTACTTCGAAAGAATCATAAAGGCTGTAATGGTTAAACAAATTTAACATTTGATTGAATATTTTCAAAATATTTCTTATACATTTTTCTTAAAGAATGTAAAATCTTAATCCTTTATTTAAGTCTGTAATGACCTTCGGTATGGATTGGGATGTGCTTTCACCTGTGGTCACTGCAGTGAGGACGAAACCTGTCACCATGTCAACGGCACTTGTATGAATGGTTGTAATTACGGAGTGGAAGGAGATAAATGCCAGAATGGTTGGTTTAGTTACTTTGAAATAGAATATATAATTTATAAATAAAAACAAGATGTGTTTGTGAAACACTAATGCCCCCGTATGGCAACTTATAGCAAAGGTTTAACTTTCTCAAATGCAAATCTAATATGTTGGTACCCAATGTAAGGTCTTTTCTCGAGGAATTAACCTGTGAAATATGGAAGCCCTAGCAGCAACCATTGAATAGATATGGGAAAGGTTAAAGATTTTTTTTAAAAAGTATATCAAGGTCAAGGTCAAAGTAAATGGTGCCCAAGAAAAGGCCTTGATCCAAGAAATAAAGTGAAATATGAAAGCCGAAGCACCAATCGTTCAAAAGTTATGACCAACGTTTAAGTTTTCCAAAAGTAGATCAAACTCCAAGGTCAAAGTTGTTGGTATGCAAAGGAAGGTCTTGTCACAAGGATTATACATGTGAAGTATGAAAGTTTAAGCATCAACCGTTCAAAAATTATGGCCAAGGTTAAAGTTTTTTCAAAAGAAGGTCAAACTCCTAGGTCAAGGTCAAGAGGTCAGAGATGTTGGTATCCAGAGGAAGGCCTTGTCACAAGGATTATACATATGAAGTATGAAATTTTAGCGCTAACCGTTCAAAAATTATTGCCAAGGTTAAAGTTTTTCTAAAGAATGTCAAACTCCAAGGTCAAAAGGTCAAAGATGTTGGTATCCTCGGGAAGGCCTTGTCACAAGGATTATACATGTGAAGTATGAAAGTTTTAGCACTAACCGTTCAAAAAGTATGGCCAAGGTTAAAGTTTTTCAAAAAGAAGGTCAAACTCCTAGGTCGAGATCAAAATGTCAAAGATGGTGGTATCCAATGGAAGGCCTTGTCACAAGAATTATACATGTGAAGTATGAAAGCCCTAGTACCAACCTTTCAAAAATTATGGCCAAAGTTAAAGTCTTTCAAAAAAAGGTCAAACTCCTAGGTAATGGTCATAGATGTTGGTATGCAAAGGAAGGTCTTTTCACAAGAATTACACATGTGAGGCATGAAAGCCTTAGCACCAATTGTTCCAAAGTTATGACCAAGGGTAAAGTTTGGTAAAATTTTGCAAAACTTGGCGAAACTCCAAGGTCAAGGTCAAATATGGTGGTGTCCAAAGAAAGGTTTTGTCACAAGAAATACACGTGTGAAATATGAACGCAATAGCTCCAACCAATCAAAAGTTATGGGCAAGGTTAAAGTTTTTGCGGACAAACAGACAGACAGACAGACGGACGGACAGGGCAAAAACTATGTACCCCCGAATCTTCGATACGGGGGCATAAATACGTTAATGTAGCCTTTCTTTCTATTGACAGACATGTTGGTTCAATTTTTTAAGTTCATGGAGAAATCCTTTGGTTCCCTGACAAAACAGTACATAAAGTAAACGATTCTTCACTATAGTTAACTAAACATGTATTTTACTACAGTATCAGAGTATTTCTTGTAGTGAGTCAAAGTTTTTGCTTTAGTAAATCAAAGTATTTTATACTATGATTTCATATTGGAGACACTTCAAAACAAAAATTTAATCAGAACTTGAGAGTCAGCATCGTTAAGTATTATTTAGAGAACGAGACGGGTTCTGTATCGTCGCACAAGTTTCCGCCCCAAAATTTGTATCTACGATACAGAACCTGTCGAGTTCTCTAAATGATTTGTGATACGATCAATCAAAAATAAGCACCGCCCACTTTATCGCTGTGCAGCATCCAAACGTCCGCCAGGATTCGTTTGTTTTCTCTGTGGATGAGGCCTCGACGGGGAGTATACATCCGCAGTATATATATTTCCACGGACAATGTAAGATTTAGTCAGATTAGTTTTGACAACGGGGTAGACGTAATAGACTTGAAGTCCGTCTTAATTGATAAGTTGGACGATTTAACCTTGTAGATGGAGATTGATCCTAATTTATTTCAGGGGTGTTAAAATATCAGTTTAACTAGATACACATACAGGCGATATAGACAGTTCTTAGATAGACTTTGATGTTACGGATTTTTAATTTATTATTGAAATAAGCAATATTAAAAAGGAAGTTAAAGAGATGTGCGGCAGCCGTCAGCAATAAGGATTTGAAATGAAATTAATTTAAAAAAAAAAACCCTAAAAATGGACTTGAATGAGTTTGCACGAGAAGAGTCGAAAATGGGGGGTGGGGGAGGGGGGGGGGAGTGCGAATTTCACCTGCTGTATACTGCATTCGTGAATCCATTGGCTTCACTATTTTGAAGGGGACACAAAAAGCAGGTTTTCAGGAATTTATCCAACATAGGATGTTTTCCACAATTGCAAATTTTACTTTTTGTTTGGATCGAAATAACGTGAACATTATTTATGGAATGCCTTTACTGAAGTGATTGAGAAATTTTGACATTTTACATTCCTAAAGATATATTTCTCCAAAATTTGTAACAGGAAAAAATCAGCATATACTATTTGTACGTGCTTTTGATAATTGAATCAGATTTAATTTTAGACCGTGCTGTATTTTAGATACAAAATAGTTGGCTAATACAAGACTGTATATAGGGCTAATTCAGAACGGAAAGTAGCTCCAGCCACTATAGATCCGTTCTGTATTGCTAATACAGAACAACAAATTTCAAAGAAAAACACTGCTATCGTGTCAAAATATATTATTAATCGGTAATACACATAGTTGCACTGATGTTCAAAAACAAAACTTTGGAGGGCTTGATGACTCAAACTTTTCTTTTGTCTTCTTCCCTTATATAAGTAGCAGTATACCATATCACCTGCAAATTGAGTGTTTGTCTCCAAAATGATTTGATACGCAAGGGCATCTGCGTACGACCAATTTATAAAATGAGGCAAAATACTGACAAATAGGTTGATGATACAAGGATATAACAATTTTGTTTATAGTCAACATTCTGCAATTTTCTTTGGTCGATACTATGACTATGTTTGCAAATACACTCTGTAACTCGAATGTTGACTGACATTTTAATACACATTGTTGGGTCATTATTTTCAAACTGAATTGCTTTTGGATGTTTGTCATGACAGGGTTTTCTCTGCTCCCAATTTTTCTTGTTCCAGTGCACTTTTGAGGTTAATAACCGTTCGTTATCCTCATATTTCAGCTAGAATACCCAAGGTATCATTATCATATGACATTCCAGGCATACTTATACATATATAAATATCTTACAGTATACGCGCAATATCTTACAGTATACTCAGCATTGACAGAACCGACCAAATATAGTACTTGATCCTAAATTGTATTGTTCCAATGAACTTTTGAGTTTGATAATTGCTCGTTCTTTTTATATTGCATGAATACCTTATCTACAGATTGTAGAAAAGTATGTTTGTGTGCTCAGTCTCGGACACATCTCTGTGATACTGTTTGTTTTACCAACGTTTATGTTTGCTTGTTTCATTTAAAAAAAATCCACAAAGTGTGGTTTTCTTTAAGAAAATTCATCAAAAATATGTGGACAGGAAAAATTTGGATTTGAACCAACAACATGCAGTTTCAAACGGTATACCATGTTGATTCTCCTGTTCCTGTAATACATTTTCATTTTGGGGTATTTAATGTAAAAAGTCACTTCATACTGACTTTCTGGATAATAGGACAAATGTTATTAACAAATATTTTTACAGAGTGAGTCATCTTCATTCCAGTAACCGTTCACGGCACTCGGCACTTTGAAGTGAAAGTTGCGGGTCCTTCGGATGAAACCTTAAAAACGGAGGCCCCGTGTCACGGTAGTCGTTGGCATGATAAAGATTCCTCACTGCTCAATGGCCCTGAGTGCCGAGTAAAGGTCAAAATTTGAAGCCTTCACCGGTATAATTATGGCAACGTCTCTATATGAGTGAAAAATTCTCGAATGGGATGTAAAACGACATTAAATCAATCTATCAATCATTCCTTTATTTTCAAAATTTACCCTTTTTAGGTCACCTGAGTCACTCAGATGACCTATTGCTATCCGTTTTTGTCCGTCGGCGTGCGACATGCGTCGTGCGATGTGCGTTAACATTTGAACATTTTTAGCTTCTTCTCTGAAACCGCTCAACCAATTTCAACCAAATTTGGCATATAGCATCTATGGGTGAAGGGGAGCAAAAATTGTGAATTTCATGATCCCTGCCCCCCTGGGGCCTGAGGGGTGGGGCTAAAACCACCAAAATTAATGCAATCTTTAAAAATCTTCTTTACTCCTGGACATCAAGCAGTCAAACTGTTGGCATGATTGTAATAAGCATTGACCCTCTACCAAAATTGTGAAATTCATGGCCCCAGGGTCAGGGGTTCTGGTGCTAGGGAGGGGTTATATAGATTATATAGTGAAAGTGCATTATTTCTTTGAAAATCTTCTTCTCTGCTCCTGGGTATTAAATAAACTAACTAAGTATATAGTTATGATGAGTAAGAGTGCCTCTTTCAAAATTGTGAATTTCATGGCCCCAGGGGCAGGGGTTCTGGTGTAAGGGCGGGGCTCTATTGATTATATAGTGAAAATGCATTACATTTTTGAAAATCTTCTTCTCTGCTCCTGGGTATAAACTACAGTAACTAAGTACATAGTTATGATAAGCAAAAGTGCCTCTTCCAAAATTGTGAATTTCATGGCCCCAGGGTCAGGGGTTCTGGTGTTAGGGAGGGGCTCTATTGATTATATAGTGAAAATGCATTAATTCTTTTAAAATCTTCTTCTCTGCTCCTGGGTGTTAAATAAAGTAACTAAGTACATAGTTAGGATGAGCAAGAGTGCCTCTTTCAAAATTATGAATTTCATGGCCCCAGGGGCAGGGGTTCTGGTGTTAGGGCGGGGCTCTATTGATTATATAGTGAAAATGCCTTAATTCTTTGAAAATCTACTTCTCTGCTCCTGGGTATTATTGAAACAAATTAAATACATAGTTTTGATAAGCAAGGATGCCTCTTCCAAAATTGTGAAATTCGTGGCTCCTGGATCAGGGGTTCTGGTGTTAGAGCGGGGCTC